ATATGCAATGGAAGTGCAAAGGACAGCCAAGAGACATGCAAATGGAAGGGCAAAATACAAGAAAAGAGATAAGAAATAGAAGTGCGAAAGAGAGGTGAAAAGACATGAAATGGTAGGGCAAAAAAATTAACTTTTTGCACTTAAAAAAATTGAAGAAAAGGGCAAAGAATGGTAAGAATTTTTCTCTTTCTTTTTCCTTTTTTTATCTTTTCCTGGTTGTTGCATTTCCATTCCATGTCTTTTTAGATCTCTTTTCCACTTTCATTTCATGTGTCTTGTTTTGTATTTTGGATTCCATTTCATTCATTTTTCAATGTCTTTCCATTTCATTTTTTAAACATGTTTTTCTTTTTCAATTTTTACCCTTCCTTTTTTTTATAATGTTTTATAATGTCGAATCCCTCAAAAATGGCTTTTGTCCCTTTAAAAGTACTTTAAATAACATGGAAATCGGTAGGTCTTAAGGGTTCCGAAAGGTCCGTCTCAACTAACGCAATCGGAAAGTCGAAGCCCTCAAAATGGTTCCGAAAGGTCCGTCTCAACTAACGCAATCGGAATGTCGAAGATCTCAAAATTTGCTCTAGTCCCTTTAAAAGTACTTTAAATAACATGGACTCCGTCGCAACTGTCACAATCGGTGGGTCTTAAGGGTCCCGAAATGTCCGTCTCAACTAACGCAATCGGAATGTCGAAGATCTCAAAATTTGCTTTAGTCCCTTTAAAAGTACTTTAAATAACATGGACTCCGTCGCAACTGTCACAATCGGTGGGTCTTAAGGGTCCCGAAATGTCCGTCTCAACTAACGCAATCGGAATGTCGAAGATCTCAAAATTTGCTTTAGTCCCTTTAAAAGTACTTTAAATAACATGGACTCCGTCGCAACTGTCACAATCGGTGGGTCTTAAGGGTCCCGAAATGTCCGTCTCAACTAACGCAATCGGAATGTCGAAGATCTCAAAATTTGCTTTAGTCCCTTTAAAAGTACTTTAAATAACATGGACTCCGTCGCAACTGTCACAATCGGTGGGTCTTAAGGGTCCCGAAATGTCCGTCTCAACTAACGCAATCGGAATGTCGAAGATCTCAAAATTTGCTTTAGTCCCTTTAAAAGTACTTTAAATAACATGGACTCCGTCGCAACTGTCACAATCGGTGGGTCTTAAGGGTCCCGAAATGTCCGTCTCAACTAACGCAATCGGAATGTCGAAGATCTCAAAATTTGCTTTAGTCCCTTTAAAAGTACTTTAAATAACATGGACTCCGTCGCAACTGTCACAATCGGTGGGTCTTAAGGGTCCCGAAATGTCCGTCTCAACTAACGCAATCGGAATGTCGAAGATCTCAAAATTTGCTTTAGTCCCTTTAAAAGTACTTTAAATAACATGGACTCCGTCGCAACTGTCACAATCGGTGGGTCTTAAGGGTCCCGAAATGTCCGTCTCAACTAACGCAATCGGAATGTCGAAGATCTCAAAATTTGCTTTAGTCCCTTTAAAAGTACTTTAAATAACATGGACTCCGTCGCAACTGTCACAATCGGTGGGTCTTAAGGGTCCCGAAATGTCCGTCTCAACTAACGCAATCGGAATGTCGAAGATCTCAAAATTTGCTTTAGTCCCTTTAAAAGTACTTTAAATAACATGGACTCCGTCGCAACTGTCACAATCGGTGGGTCTTAAGGGTCCCGAAATGTCCGTCTCAACTAACGCAATCGGAATGTCGAAGATCTCAAAATTTGCTTTAGTCCCTTTAAAAGTACTTTAAATAACATGGACTCCGTCGCAACTGTCACAATCGGTGGGTCTTAAGGGTCCCGAAATGTCCGTCTCAACTAACGCAATCGGAATGTCGAAGATCTCAAAATTTGCTTTAGTCCCTTTAAAAGTACTTTAAATAACATGGACTCCGTCGCAACTGTCACAATCGGTGGGTCTTAAGGGTCCCGAAATGTCCGTCTCAACTAACGCAATCGGAATGTCGAAGATCTCAAAATTTGCTTTAGTCCCTTTAAAAGTACTTTAAATAACATGGACTCCGTCGCAACTGTCACAATCGGTGGGTCTTAAGGGTCCCGAAATGTCCGTCTCAACTAACGCAATCGGAATGTCGAAGATCTCAAAATTTGCTTTAGTCCCTTTAAAAGTACTTTAAATAACATGGACTCCGTCGCAACTGTCACAATCGGTGGGTCTTAAGGGTCCCGAAATGTCCGTCTCAACTAACGCAATCGGAATGTCGAAGATCTCAAAATTTGCTTTAGTCCCTTTAAAAGTACTTTAAATAACATGGACTCCGTCGCAACTGTCACAATCGGTGGGTCTTAAGGGTCCCGAAATGTCCGTCTCAACTAACGCAATCGGAATGTCGAAGATCTCAAAATTTGCTTTAGTCCCTTTAAAAGTACTTTAAATAACATGGACTCCGTCGCAACTGTCACAATCGGTGGGTCTTAAGGGTCCCGAAATGTCCGTCTCAACTAACGCAATCGGAATGTCGAAGATCTCAAAATTTGCTTTAGTCCCTTTAAAAGTACTTTAAATAACATGGACTCCGTCGCAACTGTCACAATCGGTGGGTCTTAAGGGTCCCGAAATGTCCGTCTCAACTAACGCAATCGGAATGTCGAAGATCTCAAAATTTGCTTTAGTCCCTTTAAAAGTACTTTAAATAACATGGACTCCGTCGCAACTGTCACAATCGGTGGGTCTTAAGGGTCCCGAAATGTCCGTCTCAACTAACGCAATCGGAATGTCGAAGATCTCAAAATTTGCTTTAGTCCCTTTAAAAGTACTTTAAATAACATGGACTCCGTCGCAACTGTCACAATCGGTGGGTCTTAAGGGTCCCGAAATGTCCGTCTCAACTAACGCAATCGGAATGTCGAAGATCTCAAAATTTGCTTTAGTCCCTTTAAAAGTACTTTAAATAACATGGACTCCGTCGCAACTGTCACAATCGGTGGGTCTTAAGGGTCCCGAAATGTCCGTCTCAACTAACGCAATCGGAATGTCGAAGATCTCAAAATTTGCTTTAGTCCCTTTAAAAGTACTTTAAATAACATGGACTCCGTCGCAACTGTCACAATCGGTGGGTCTTAAGGGTCCCGAAAGGTCTGTCTCAACTAACGCAATCGGAATGTCGAAGACCTCAAAATTTGCTTTAGTCCCTTTAAAAGTACTTTAAATAACATGGACCCCGTCGCAACTGTCACAATCGATGGGTCTTAAGGGTCCCGAAAGGTCTGTCTCAACTAACGCAATCGGAATGTCGAAGACCTCAAATATATGGCTTTAGTCCCTTTAAAAGTGCTTTAACACATGGACTCTGTCGCAACTGTCACAATTGGTGGGACTTAAGGGTCCCGAAAGGTCTGTTTCAACTAACACAATCGGAATGTCGAAGATCTCAAAAATGGCTCCGAAAGGTCCGTCTCAACTAAGGCAATCGGAAAGTCGAAGCCCTTAAAAATGGCTCTAGTCCCTTTAAAAGTACTTTAAATAACATTGACTCCGTCGCAACTGTCGCAATTGGTGGGTCTTCAGGGTCCCGAAAGGTACGTCTCAACTAACGCAATCGGAAAGTCGAATCCTTCAAAAATGGCTTTAGTCCCTTTAAAAGTGCTTTAAATAACATGGACTCCGTCGCAACTGACACAATCGGTGGGTCGTAAGGGTCCCGAAAGGTCCGTCTCAACAAACGAATTAGAAAGTCGAAGCCCTCAAAAAATGGCTCTAGTCAATTTAAAAGTACTTTAAATAACATGGATTCCATCGTAACTGTCGCAATTGGTGGGTCATAAGGGTCCCAAAAAGTCCGTCTCAACTAACGCAATCGGAAAATTGAAGCCCTTAAAATTGGCTCCGAAAGATTTGTCTCAACAAACATAATCGGAAAATCGAAGCTCTCAAAATTTGCTCTAGTCCCTTTAAAAGTACTTTTAAAATGATGGACTCCATCGCAACTGTCGCAATCAATGGGTCTTAAGAGTCCCGAAAGGTCCATCTCAACTACCACAATGGGAAAGTCGTAGCCCTCAAAAATGGCTCTAGTCCCTTTAAAAGTACTTTAAAAATCATGGACTCCGTCGCAACTGTCACAATCGGTGGATCTTAAGAGTCCTGAAAGGTCCGTCTGAACTACCACAATCGGAAAGTCGAAGCCCTTAAAATTGGCTCTAGTCCCTTAAAATGTACTTTAAAAATCATGGACTGCGTCGCAACTGTCACAATTGGTGGGTCTTAAGGGTTCTGAAAGGTCTGTATCAACTAACGCAATCGGATAGTAGAAGCCCTCAAAAATGGCTCTAGTCCTTTTAAAAGTACTTTAAAAATCATGAACTCTGTCGCAACTGTCTCAATAGGTGGCTCTTAAAATCCCGCAAGGTCCGTCTCAACTACCACAATCGGAAAGTCGAAGCCTTTAAAAATCATGGACTCCTTTGCAACTGTAGCAATCGGTAGGTCTTAAGGGTCCCGAAAGATCCGTCAGAACTAATGCAATCAGAAAATTGAAGCCCTTAAAAATGGCTCTAGTCCCTTTAAATGTACTTTAAAAATCATGGACTCCGTCGCAACTGTCGCAATCGGTGGGTCTTAAGGGTCCTGAAAGGTCCGTCTCAACTAGCACAATCGGAAAGTCTAAGCCCTTAAAATTGGCTCTAGTCCCTTTAAAAGTACTTAAAAAACCATGGACTCCGTCGCAACTGTCGCAATCAGTGGGTCTTAAGGGTCCCGAAAGGTCTGCCTCAACTACCCATTCTCAACTGTCGCAATTGGTCTTAAGGGTCCTGAAAGGTCCGTTTCAACTAACACAATCGGATAGTTGAAGCCCTCAACTATTCTGGCTCTAGTCCCTTTAAAAGTACTTTAAAAATCATGGACTCCATCGCAAACGGTGGGTCTAAATTGTCCCGAAAGGTCTGTCTCAACTACCGCAATCGGAAAGTCGAATCCCTCAAAATTGGCTCTAGTCCCTTTAAAAGTACTTTTGAAATTCTCAAATTTGTGGCAGCTATCGCAATTGGTGATCTAAACTGGTCCAGCTGAACTACCTCAATCAGAAAGTCGAAGCGGTCAAGATAAGCTCAAGTCCCCTTTAAAGTACTTAAAAATTTTTCGAATCTGTCCACCTATAGTAATTCAATCTGTCTGTCTGTAATGTCAACATGATCATGGCAGTTTAAAGACAACACTGTGGTACCCCCCAGTACTCGTACTGGTGGTACAATAAAATATCAATTCAATATAAAATACAAAAATCAATATTAAAAATGATCTCAGGTAGTGATGAATTCAATATACTTTGAATATATGTGATTATAATAAATAAGAAGACATTTTCTGAAGTATTACCCCTATTTTAGATAAAACTCTTTTTTCTGATCTTGTTCGGCAGAGAATTGTTGAGTCAAGTTAGAATCGTCACACATCTAAACAAGTGTAAAAGAAGCAGGTATTTGTTAACTAAACAAGTCTTCGCAATGTCTTCTCAAAATATTAAGGCACTTAATTACTGCCCCTAGTGCAGTAACCATCATGGACACTCACATGTAGATCAAATATGAAAAAAGTAGCAAAACTTATATGGAAAAAATGAAGGACAAAGTCACTCAGTTAATATTAGGTAAAAAATTGTTTTATACTTGTTAAAAATAAATAAATAAATATATAAATAAACTAGATGGTGTTGATGGATAGCCATCACGAATCCCCCCACTTCCCCATGCACTTATCAAAGATGAAAAGAAATTTGACTGGGTTCCCATCCCTAGATCGATCTAACAGGATCAGTCCATCTCCATGGGGTCCCTCACTAAATTGCTTTCAGCCCAAACAGCTTAGACATCTGGGATGCCCACTAAAGCTGCTAAACAATAGTTAATTACCCCTTATCAGCATCAGCAGGTGTGACAGACATCTAAGCCATCCAAGTTAATTGCAATTAAACGAGAATCCCCTCTGAAATAGTTCAATCCAAAGTTGGTATGATAGGGTTTGGGAAATGGTCCCTTAGGATAACCCACCCTGTATGGACAGCCCAAGTGCAATAAAGTTCCCTGAAGATATGTCTAGTAATCCCTGAAGTATCAATTAACTTTCTACATTTATGCAATAAAGTTCCCTGAAGATAGGTCTGGCACCCCCCCAAAGTATCAACTTTCGACACTTATGGTCTAGCAGTAATAACATTTCAGAATCAACCACCCCCAGGGACAGCCCAATCCCCAGGCATTATAAAATTTTGTGCCCAGATGCACATCCATGAAGATTGCTTTACCAATTACCAAAGTTTCAACTTCATATGTCTAATGGTCTAGGAGGAGATAGCAGAAATTATGTTTCAAAAAGTATTTAGAAACAACCAAACCCTGACCACAGTTCAACCAATCACCAGTTTCAACTACTTAAAGGGATAATAACTCTTCGTTTTGGCCAAAAAATGAATTTTCCTGGAGTAAACAACAAGTTTCCCACCCTTACCAATGGTTAATGAATCCATTTTTACATTCAAAGTTAGTCCCTGGTTTTTTTATAAAAAGTTTGTTTTTTTGTTAAAATCTCTTAAGAGATTATAACTGAGTACAGCCATCAATGGAGGTCATGTGATCTAAAGACAAGCTCAGATATCAGAATAATAGCTATAACTGCCGTTTTTGTGGTACAACAGAATATATTCTATTTCTATGAGTTGTTCACAATGTTTTTATTGTGAAATATAGATATCATACGAAGAGTTATTATCCCTTTAAGTCTAATGGTCTCAAGGAGACAGCGGAAAGTAATTCTGGATCTATTCGGGATCTACCCCCCCCCCCCCCCCCCCCCCCCCCCCCCCCCCCCCCCCCAACTTCC